GGTGCATATGATTGGAAAACCATTGTATTTTGATGCTGTCTGGTTGATGAGCTTAGGATTCAATGAGTGCCAGGAGTTGATGGAGGAGCTGGAGGGGATGTGAGGTCTACGAAGCTCAACAGATCACAGTCGGGCAGAAAGCCATGGCAGAAACTCTGCGGGTCACCATAAACCCATAACTTTGCGACACAAAAAAATTCAATTGTCCAAGTTTCATTGGAAACACAATGTGTGAAAATACACCCAGGTTGAGAACCCTTGTGCGCGGATAAATGCCATGCAGACGAGCAACAAAAGTATGCCTCACGCCGCCGATGCAAGCTGTTCCGAGTACGGGAATCGAACCCGTCTCCTCCGCGCCCCCCGCATGAAAGGCGGATATACTAGCCGATATACTAACTCGGACTTGTGGACGAGAGATTGCAGCGTAATACATGATACACAAATGATGGATCCGCAGCCGATAGCAATTTGTTTTGGTCCGCAGCCGATATTAATTTGTTTTGGCGTATTGTGACACATGTGTTGTGATGACAGGTGACATGTCACGGCGGGAGGAGTGTCACAGATTCCCAGCGCTGCATGAACTATGGTTTCGCTCTGTTGACCACTCCCAACCCCCGCAACTCGAAAATGCACTCGCTTCCCTCTACTAGCACTTCCACCATCTCCAACCCATCCAGCAAACAATCAACTTCCTCAACCGACCAATCCTTTCAACTCTCTCCCATCCTGCTCGTCTCCACCCTCGATGGTCAACTGCATGCCCTCGACCGTCAAACCGGAACTTGGAACTGGACACTCAACGACCCACATCTTACCCCAAATACTCTCCTCCATCGTACTGGCCTCGTCAACTCGCCCTCTCCCTCATCCGATCATACTCACCCAGACCAAGACCATCATGAGCTATATGCAATCGAACCACACAACGATGGCGATTTATACGTCTTCATCAAATCTTCAAATCAACCATCCCGCCTCGAGAAACTCCCTCTCTCCGTCTCACAACTCGTCAACCTCTCTCCCTTCACCTTCCCCGGCGATTCCTCCAAAATGTTTATCGGTAAGAAGGAATCCCATCTCATCGCCATCGATCTCACCACTGGCTCTGTCGTCAACTCGTTACACTCTCATCCCAAACAAACCTCATTGAAGGGAAAGGAGAAAACTTCTAGCGGAAATCAATGCCATCCTCAACACTCATTTCATTCTTCTGAAAGCCAAGTCCCCCAGCTCACCTGTCCTCTCGAACCACCCACTACCAATCCCTCATTCGATCATCTAGAGAATCCTGGCTCCGTCAATCAATCACCCCGCGATCTACTCTACATTGGTCGAACTGGTTAGTCGTCTGTTGTCCCCTTGCTTGTAGTCCTGCACCACACTCCACTGATCAATCTTCTCTCCCCCAGATTACCAAGTCTCAATTTATTCCAAACCTCATACACTGATTCAGTCTTTAAGCTATTCCACCTATACCCCATCCAACCTTCCTCACAGCTTACAGACCATGTGGACACGCACACCGGATGACTTGTATCTAGAACCCACTCACGATGGCAATCTTGTTTGCTTTCAAGCTCCTTCAACATCTAACAGCACCACTCCCCCAATCCGCTCCGAACATACTAAGATCAAATGGCAGAATTCATTCGACCATCCTGTTACCAGCATTTTTGATGTCGTCTTTCCTAATGTCCCCAACGAAACACCACCATCATCATCATCATCGACGGATCAGAGCTATCCGCCTCTAGGGTCGAATAACACCCCCTCTGATTATAGCGCCTCCAAAGCTACCAACCTCCAGCAGCCAATCATCTTTGTTCAGCCCAAATTTTTACCACATAAGGATGATCAATCTCATCCTAAATTCTCGCCCGACGACGATCAGTTCAATCTCTTCAAGCATCTCCATTCTCAAAATTCTTTCTCGACTCCCTTTCAACCTAGCCATCCGTCCGGTCAGCAAAGTGCTTTCGTTGGAAAATATCAAGACTCGTTCTACGTCATGTCTCAGCAAATTTATCCTCTTGTAGTCTTCGCACCATCCGCATACCAAACCGTTGGACATGTGCCATCTATTGGGACTCATCGTCTACTCAACTCGCAAGCTTTGAACGGCTTCCTTGATTTCTCCTACAGCAATCGATTACTAGACCCTGCTACTCGTCAAAATCATCATACTTCCGGCCATTCACCCCTAGCACTCGACCCAGCCCCAAAGCCTCTGACTCTCCCTCCATCCCAAAAAGATGTAGAGTCCAATAAACCCTCCGATACTGCTGTCCCTTCAACTCATAATAAAAACGTGATCACAGGCTCTGAAAAGCTAACCTCCGAGTCGTCTCCCGTCCAACTTCATCAACGCGCTGCTAAAATTTCCTCTCTCTTGGTTAGGACGTTTAAACAGCAAATGCTGCCAAGTGAAGGGAAAAGTTTGCCATCCAATGGCAGGTCTGAAGACCGGTTTCCGGATCTGAACCCTCTATTAACACTTTTTTTGGTATTAGTGATAATGAGTTGGTGGGCTTCGAGAAAGGTCGGTTCGCCGTCAACTGCTCGGTGGGATCACCTACATCGAATAGTAAATCAAGCTCTAGGTAGTCATGATGACTCGTCAAAAATGAAGCAAGCTCCCAACTTGAAATCACTTGGCACAACGGATTCACAGGATGTAACAGCCATTGCTGAAGTGCCAACCACGATCCCTATCAAAGAACCTGAATGTCCTACCGGAGTCGATGGTTCTTCCGACACAGCTGGACTCGATGCTGCTAAGGATGATGACTCCCTTCTCCCTGCCTCAAAGCAAAAACCGAAACGTAGAAGAGGGAAGCGACCTGGCCAGAAAGCTGCGGCAGCAGCGGCCAGAGCTGAAGCTGAAGCGGCCAAGGATTTTGTGTCATCAACTCCATCTGATTCATCCCTTCCCCAGCCTGGTTCAATGGAAATTACCTCTTTGCCACCAAGAGCACCACTAGAGCCTAAAACACCCCAGAAGTCCAAACCGAATGTTAAAAAGAGCAAGCTACCAACTTCTGTTAATGGTGTTGATGTCATTCAGCCACTCAATCATTCCACCCGAATAACTGCACCAGTCGAACACTCGAACCTGACCGAAACTGCCCCCAACCCTGCTGCTATCCCTTTGAAAGTCAATGGTGAAAATGTTGAGCAACCAATCAATTCACCAACAGGATTTTCCATGAACGGTTACGGTGGTCTTGAGCCACAGAAAGTTGGCTCGCTGATTGTCACAAATGAAACCATTGGTTTGTTGGGTTTGAAGCTCGTATTTCGTGAGGCCATTTCCTTGCTGATACATTTGTTTGTATGTTTGCTTGGAACATAAAGGTTATGGATCGCATGGTACCGTAGTACTGAAAGGAACATTCCAGGGTCGCCAGGTTGCGGTTAAACGGCTTCTAAAAGATTTCGTTACACTAGCACGTCATGAAGTCAGCTTACTACAAGAATCTGACGACCACCCGAATGTGGTGCGTTATTTTGTCAAGGAATCACTCGACAGTTTTCTCTATATTGCATTGGAGCTCTGTCATGCAACGCTGTTTGATTTGGTTGAAAAACGACAATTCAAGGAGTATGAAGAGTTGGACCGGATCTTCAATGCTAAAAAAGCCTTGAAACAGATCACGTCAGGATTGAGATACCTTCACAAACTCAAGATCGTCCACCGGGATATCAAGCCCCAGAATATCCTGATCAGTCTCACTAAATCCTTACCGATTAGCAGCAAGGCAACAAAGACGAACAAGGCGGCGGCTGGTAAAAGCTTTAGGATGCTAATATCAGATTTTGGATTGTGCAAGAAATTAGAGCTGGATGAAAGTAGCTTTGCACAGACGGCTAATCATGCGGCTGGTTCGTTTGGGTATCGGGCGCCAGAGATTTTGAAGGGGCAGGTCAACCTGAGCGAGCAGAGCAACTCAACAGCTAGCTCTAGCATAATGAACTCCACCGTCCAAAACGTCATCCCAGGTACTGCCCACGGGGGGGAATCCAACGGTTCCTCCTCAATCTCTAATCCAGAAGCCTCTCACCATCGCCTGACTCGATCCATCGATATCTTCTCCCTGGGTTGTATATATTACTACGTTTTGACTAAAGGGGATCACCCCTTCGGCTCGCGGTATGAACGGGAAATGAACATCTTGAAGGACGAGGTTTGTTTGGAACAATTGGATGGGCTTGATGAGGAAGCCTTTGAGGCACAACAGTTGATTAGATCCATGATCAGATCAAATCCGAAAGAGCGGTAAGTTGCGGAACATACATAAAAATGAATTTAGCTGTTAAAATAAGTTGTGGTAGAAGACTGACAGACTGTCAATGATATTATCGTACTAAACGTAGACCGACGGCGGAAGAAGTGCTCCAAAACCCATACTTTTGGGAGCCGACAAAACGGCTCAATTTCTTGTGTGATTGTAGCGATCGGTTTGAGATCATGGAACGGGATCCGCCAGAGGAAAGCTTACTCCGACTCGAAGATCAAGAGCAGTTTTTCAGATTCGTCAATCATCATCGTCTTCCCACCAAGTCCCTCCATCATCATCCTCACATTCATGATCATGATCATAATCGGCTAGATTGGTACAAAGTCATCGATAGAGCTCTGGTAGATAATTTGGGTAAGTATCGTAAATACGACGGCGGCTCGATTCGGGATTTGTTGAGGGTGATGAGGAATAAAGTCAGTGACATTCCTTCCAATCAATCTAAGTGTCTTTTTACATGTAGAAAGATGTGGAATTGATGGTGTGTGGGATTGAATAGAAACACCATTTCCAAGATCTGCCGGATGGGATCAAGAAAGCATTGGGAGACATACCCGAAGGATTTCTTAACTATTTCAGCAGAAAGTTCCCTTCCCTATTGGTCCACGTCTACTCCGTCATCCTCGATAGTAACCTCAAATCTGAGAACCTCTTTGCTACTTACTTCCAAGTCGACGATATTTGAAATTCCACCTCTCCCCTTTTATCAACAGCAACAATACAAAAAAGTATCAAGCAGTCCATTCCTAGTCGCTCAATGTAATTTTCAATATCTCGCTTGGATAAATTCTCGTGGACCCAATCTGGCGGCTCCCCTTTTTTTACCTCTTATTTTTCTTTCTTAATTAATATTGTGTCATTTTCATACTCTCTCTCTCGCTTTCTCTCTTTTGCATTCTTGTTTCTCTAGGTGTGTGCCATGCCAGATAGTATTACTTGTACATATCCCCCTCTGCTCTTGATATCAGATACATGCCCTTTTCTTGCCCCATGTTTTTTTTTTTTCGTTCTGGTTGACTTCTCTATATCGTTCCCTCTCTTGACTGTCTGTGTTGCACACTCCCTTTTTTATCCTTCCACATCGTTGTGTACATTTCGTTT